AATTACCTCACTTAAAATATTTTCATCACTTAACCTATCCTCGTTTGGCGTGAACTCATGATTACTAAACGGTTTTTCTTGTACTTTTATCTTCACAGGAGATTCATTTTTAACATCTATAAAAAGAAACAAACAAGCAATGAATTTTCTTTAACATAATAGATGTATAAAACAATGCTAATTCATGAAATTTGCTTAACTTACAGTTTTATAGGCATACACTATTTTACATAGACTAAAACCACACATTTACCAAAATAGATAATATTTTTCCTTAAAACCTTTTGCATCCTCAGTTTTTTCATGAACTGGAAGATTCCTTTTGTTTGCAGCTGTTGTTGCAAGGGACAAGCTATTTGCTAATGTTGTGAAAGCAGTTCGAGCCTTTAACCTTGGTAAAAGTGGAATAGCACGGCGACCTTCAATAGACCAATCTGTACCAGTATTTGGACCACTTAACCTACATTATAATCATTCATTAAAATCAAAATGATAAAACCAAGAAATTTAAAAAAAAGCATATAAATGCTTAAAAGTATCTGATAATGTACCTTGTTTTAGCAAGTACTTACTGTTCAGCTATAGTTGCTAACTTCTCATCATTAACAGCTCTTCGTACTTCAGCACGATGTCTTTCATTAGAAATATGTAAAACTTTAGCAAGTTCTTGTAATAGTTTTTGTTTTTCAGTAGTAAAAGGGCCTTGAGCACGTAGAACAGATACCATACTTCCATATGCTTCTAACTCTACATTATAAAGAAATTAATTTTAATGTACAAACAACATAATTCTTTAATACTCCTTAGAATAATCAATAATTTCATGGACATTATTGCATTTTAAGAAATTCATACAAATTGATAACATCTTAAATGAATACTTAATACTATTAAAGTAGGTCTTATATTCTAAATAAAATTATTTTAAATTCAATAAAATTTAAAAAATTTATATCTTCATTTTTTATCTCAAAGTATGATATAATGGAAATTTTAAGTACCTCCATGTTACTTTCACAATACTTTTTGCTATGATTTATATTACATTTGTATTACTAATAAAGATTTACTTAACTATTAATTTTCCGTTTTTAAGTTTGAAGAACTTAAATGTGTGAAAAATTTAATTTTTCTGTATAACGTAACGCACAATGTTACTTGTCTTTATTCGTAAAATCATTTAAAATAATAACATGTATAAAAGAGTTACGAAGATATCGTTGAAAATAAGAAAACAGTTTACAGAATTCTAGTTATATTTAATAAAAAATAGATACATTTTCATACAGCACTAATAAATATTAATACATTCATAAATAATAATGATAATCAAATACACTTTATCCGATTTTTATTTACTATACTTCACTAATATAAACTATGATTATTATAACATTTAGTGTCCGTTTCTAAATCAAAATATGCCTTCAAAGTGTATAATTAGTTTTTAACTGTAAAAAGTTAAATATTATTAAAGCAAGAAAGCAATTATATGAGACATAACCTTACCCAAACATCGTAAACATTTTCTGCATTCATCGCGGGTCATCGTTTCGTGTCTCATTGGCCACATGATTGCATGATTTAATTGTTATAATAAACACGATAAAAGATAATAGCTATTTGTACACTTTTCCCACATTTTCAACGTTTCGTTGACAGTATGGTAAGTTGATGATGAAGTTACCGTATAACTACTTTTATTGTAACTGGTGTTTGTATACTGTTGGTATTACGCCAGTAGAATAAACGGTGCGTTGGCTAACTTGAAATGCATGTTTTCACTTAAAATGGCAGAATCGAGAGGAAAAGGATTTAAAAAATTCTAAAGTGCTAGATATTTCTTAAGTTATGTTTAAATTGCTTCTTACTTGTAAATTAGTTTGTGCTTTTTCATGTGTATTTTATGTAAATACGTCTTAAAGAACCTACAGACTTCTCAGAATTACAAATACACACAATTGGTTATAAGAATGTATAAATAAACAAAAACATTTTAACCAAACGCATTTTTATAAATCTAACATTTACAGTGTAGACCTCGCCTGTTTGATTATTTACATATCGTAAGCTTATAGATTTCCTACCTTACCAACTAGAATTGAAACCTAACTTCCTGTTATGAAACTTTTCTTTTTGACAAAATTATAATTGAATCTATCCATAATTTTTAGAGCACACAGTTATGTAAGATTAATCTTTAAATAAAATTTTTTATATTAAGCAACATTTTGAACTTTTAGTATATTATTTATATTAGAACTTTTGTTCGTGGCAACTTTACCGATTTATAATACAGTACATACGTAGCATGCTAAATAATAAAACTCTACTACCATTTTGTTAAATAAAACAAAGATAATATTTGACGATAAAAAGAATTGTTGCTATACACACTCAGTGCTTTCAATCATACGAAAATTTCAAGTATAATTTTAAATAGTCACTTTTATAATTAGTATATAACTACGAATGATTATATGTATAGTGGTATTTACGAAAAATGCTACTCAATAAAACTTTTATTAGTTTGTAAAATTTATGAAACTAAGTACGTTATTACGACGCATTAAAAAATTCATAGGTTTGAAATTCATACGCATGTAAGTATAATACATACTTACATACTTATCTGTACAGAATTTAATTTTGAAATATATTCGCAGTGGTCAGACAGAGTTAACGGAATGGTTCCGGTCTTACAATTAATCATCTTTCACTTAGGACAGCATCGTCCAGCTAACATGTCTGTTTCTCCTTCCATCCGTTGCTTTCGCGCATGTCTACTACGTCACTATTATCCAAGGAGCAACTCGTAAGATGTTTGAACTATACTCCCGTTCGCTGTTAGTGACGTGGTTGCTTGTACATATAAATACGTCATGTGTGAAGTTTAGGCTTTTTCGATGACAGGGACGCTAGCTTGTTGTGCTCGCTTCTTCAGTGCTGGTTTTCTTAATAATGTATGTAGGCTGCTACGTGATAGTAATAGCTGAAATGGGCGTGAAGGGCTCCATCACTGGACAATTCTGGTCTACGTCGCGTCGTCAGGGAAACTGCGCTGCGCTAAAGATGCGGCTATGACAAATTAGCCACTAAATTCCACCGATAAAGTAGCACATTTAATTAACGTATTTATAAGCTTCAGAGATTAAGCCCCTTCTTCTACCATCATCCTGTTAATATCATCGTACAATAACGTCAACTGCGCAGTACGAAGCGCAATAAACCAAAGTTAAATAAGTGCCGCGCAAATGTTATGTGTGTGGCGTGTTGCATAGGTACTTACTTGTACATTAGCACTCATAAATATTTGCTCACTTTTTTGTTTACAATGTTCTTTGTTTTAGTAAATAATTTAATTTTGGGAGGCTCTTCAGTTTTTAATGTTGAAATTAAAAACTAATACTGTTAAAATTATAACAGAAGTACAGAGCCAGGAATTTTTCTGTGTACCAGCTTTTTTAACCGTTTCGCTGCGATAGTGGCTATGTGAAAAGCGAGCAATATGGGAGTGCTGCACATTACATATTAGCCTCCAAGCGTACACACAATGGAACTTTTACAATTATTTGGAACCGTCCACATTATTCTATCTAAAAAAAGTGCGTTTATTTCCTTGGAATTCTTTCTAAGAAACTCAGAGAGTATTGTAACATAACAAAAAATATTCCAATGTATAATTTATATAACCAATAAAAAAATTATATTTTACATTTTTGACTTACTTTTACACATAAAATCACTTTTTTTATGGCAGTACCACCCATCCTGGTACATCCTATATTTGCTTTAGTAATTTGATACGGATTTCACCAAACTTATATTGATCATATGATTCAATTAAATTTATCTTCCTTTAATCCGGAAATGTAACGTTCTTTCCTAAATTATATTTCTTCTTACACTTGTAAAATTTAATCTACGTTTTCTGTTTGTTTTAGATTTGGTCAATGCACACGACCACTTTTTATTTATCGTTTATCAGTCTCGATTAATATCTTTTTTCGACTAATTTGAGCCTGATTTTTTAAATTATTTTGGTGATAAATCACAAGCTCACGTTCTAGTAAGATTGTTTGTCATATTTAAGTTATTTTTAAGGAAATACTTTTCAAAGTACTTTTAGAAGCCAAAATAAGATGAAAATCAAGAAGAAAATAATTGCGTTTGAGGTTTCGTTTGTTAGTTATTAATAATTAAAATCTGCGCCTAGAGCATGGCAATTTTCACGCACTACTACAGACCAAATGGTTGCGCGGTGGGTAGGTAAGTTTCGTATCAACCGAGAAAAAAATCAAGCTTATCTGATAAAGATATACAATTTTGCGAACATTTCGCAATAACAATCCAACTTGAATCGTAGAACGACATTAAACCTGCTTACTCGAAAAAATCCACTAGAACATGTCGAAACCCGCCCAAAGGAATTTTCAAGTAGGTTGTGTATGAAAATTGCCTTCAGCAGGCGCAGATTTAAATTGTTAATAACTGAAAAACGAAGCCTCAAGGGCAATTTCGTTAATTTTGATTTTCGTTTTATTTTCACTTGAAGAATCTGTACCTCAAAACCCTACGAAGTTCTTGCTAATAATTTTATAAAAAAACTTTTCAAAGAAATATATTAAATATATATCATCTTCTAGGCAGAGAAAGCAACTAAAATTAATCAACTTACTAACTTAGGATAAGAGTTGATCTTGAGTTCTCAATATCTGATAAATTATTAGCTGTCTGCATCGAAAAAGGGTCTCAGATGTACTTGGTTGAACGAGTTTTACAAACTCGTTTCTATGAACAAATTTGGAATGCATACGTGGAAATTGAAAGCATAGTGATTTTCACAAACGATAAATATCGTAGGCATACAAATGTTACTGAAGTACCTTTACTTGTTTAATTGAAAATCAAATTTGAAGAATCACTGTTCGAAGTTCAAACGAAATATTTAAAACGAAACAGATACAAAATGATTCCAATTACTAATATAATTTCTTTTTGTACTCGATAATCAGTTCAATAGTCCTATATTATACTAAATATTTTATTTCATAATTACCAATTTTAAATTGTAAAAGGTACTGTGAATTAGTATATTTTTAATCGAAATCGTCTAATTAATTGTTCTACGCAATTGCGAATCACTGGGATCAGTATTAAGTCGATGTATCTGTTCCTTTCGTTCTATGTGCCACGGATAACGACTCTGTACTCGGAAATTCCCGTGGGTGAGTTATAAAGTCGTCCGTATGCTTTTCCTTGTCTCAGTCGATGGACGTCAACGTCCCGCGATCTATTTCTCCGTTCAACATCGACATGTATTCTTTCGAATTAATCGACCATAAATATAAATCGTAAAAAGGAATTGACGAATTTAATTAATTATTCTATTAGTTAAAAAAGTAATTGAAGATAGAAAAAGGTGATTTAAAATGCGTGTTATTGCGACGTTAATAATCGCAGTGCTCTTCGCTGCTAACACCGTTGATTCTAGTGTCACACTGGATAAGGGTAAGAAATAAGGCGATTATTCAATTGTTTTTTAACTATTGAATAAGTTATAGAAAAAAAAAAAGGAACAAGGAGGAACAAATTGATAAGAATGATATACAAGGTTCATCAAACTTTGTTTTTCTTTGGTTACGTACTGGAAGATTGTGAAAAATACAATAATTTTGATTTTTTTCACTTTTTTAAATTCTTGTACCGACGAACTTTTAACAGTTTTCAATTTGCTGTTTTAACACGTTGAAAATAAGTTGAGATTTCTAATCTCACATTTGACGATTTACACTTCTTTTAATTGTAGACTATTCAGCTTCAGATCTAGAGAGATTAATAAATCTAGGCAGAGAAAATCTTTCGAATTAAACAGAAATCTTACTGTTATATCTTAGCTTAAAGTTTCGATTTTTAAATTTCATGTTGTTTTAGGTATAGAGATTTTTCAAATTTTGAAAGTGTCTTAAATGTATTTATTTTTAAGGTGGTAAATTTACTGGATAGTTTGAAAATCTGAACCTTGTAGTATACAATTCGAAAATATTAGATTTCAGATATTTTCCTCCATCCAAAAGTTAAAAACCGTCTAACAAAAGTATATATTTTCAAAACACAAGGAATTTTGCAAACAATACTTTGAATTTAGCATTTTTCTATTGCATTCTTTTACTATTATCTTTCACGTGCAGCAATAAAAGTAAACTAAATTGTATAGTAAAATAGTGGCTGTACAGTGTTCCCATAAGGTGTTCACGGTGTTGCAAACCAGTCGCCATGCAAGTTGACAAGAAGTAACGGCATGCTTGGAACGATAAATCGTTTCTACGGTCGTTTAAGTTGAAATGACTATTTTCATCCATACCAATTATGGAAATATACTCGTAAATATCTTGTGGCAAACAATTCACGAAAATTGTTATGGAAAAAGCAACTTTCCCCTTTTTAAAATGACACAACGAACGACAGTTTGAATTTGGACTGTATTTTCGAAAATTGTAATTTTCAAAGTTTCCAATAAAATTGATCTCTCGTTTAGAAGAAAAATGAAAATATCAATTTCTGAAATAAAAAATCTGAGAAGAAATCTAAAAAATTTGAAAGGAAAAAAATATTTTATCAATTTTTGCGAATGTTTTCCAGACCTGACAACGAGCTTTGAAGAAACATGGGACAGCAACGATTTCGTAATTGCTATTTCGAATATTAAATTAAAGAGGAAATCATCGGAAGTATCAGTCGAGACTCTTCTTGCTGTAAAATATGGGAAATTGGGAACGAAAGTAGTATTGATGCTCGACAGACGAAACCAACAAGGTGAGAAACATTTTAAATACATATATCTTTTACAAGTTTCCTGATATTTTTGTAAATATTAAAAATTTTGCTCGATAGTATTCGAAGATTATTTTCTGACTTAAATAGGTATACATTTATTTGAAAAAGAATTGAAAAAGAAACACTTACAAAGGGAAGTTAAATGCTTTTATTTAACAGGGAACTATCTTATCAAATTGAGTCATGACAAATAATGAAAGTGGTCTTAATTCATTTGAAACAATAAGATAAAAATTAAAAGTTCAGAAATATTATGTTCTTTGGAAAACATAAATTTAAAGTAACGACATTGAAAACAAGTAATACTAAACGAAATCACTAATTTACTACGAACGAAAATTTACAACTTAAATGATTTTAATCAGAAGTGTAGAAAAATGCCAATTATTGTGTAAAGTAGGAAAAAAAAAAATACTATTTCAGTGATCCTCGAAAGTATCAATGAAGATGGTCATCAAACTTCAGAGCACATTAACGTGGACATTTTAACTATGAATTCTCCATTAAAAAATGTAATCATCATAGTACATCAGAGTCAGCCTGACGCTCGAATGGATGTTTACATTAATCACGCTTATCAGGGTAAAATACCGTTGAAGACAAGTTTTCGGGAATTAGCAGCCAGCGAGGAAAATCTTCTCGTAGAAGCGGTGAGTCTTTTGTAACAAAAATACGTTCTTCGTAAATCTCATTTTTATTATTGAACATATAAGCGTGATCTAGTAGAGAGATGCAAAGAAAAACTTTACAGGTCACAGTTTCTTCTGCAGAGCTGTGAAAAAGTTACGACTGAAATAAGCTTCTCATCAATTTGTGTAATTAATTACAAAATCTAACAATGCCAGTTTATTCTACATATTTTCGTTGATATAGAAGTAGTTTTACTGTAGAATATGTTACATTTATTTTATCTAATTTACTGCGAAAATTAAATCGACGTTTATACGAAGCTTATCATCTTTTATTAATTTAAGTTATACTTTCATGATTTGAGAAGTGCAAACAGCATATTCACATTCAATAATTAAACTCCCGCTGTAACAAATTCAAAACAACGATGATCTTAAATCTTGCTTGTCTCTTAATTTATATTATAAAAGGTTTACGAAGGGTTTAAAGATGAAGCTACATAAAATGTCTTAAAGTAGTAACGATTTTCATTACTCTAACGCGTGTCTGAAATTCAACCGAATGAATATCAATCGAAGCAACATTTCACAAAATGTTTTCTCTTTTTCTCCTTTCTTCTCAAATTCTTTTTTTTTTCTTTTGTATTTCTCTGTTATCACAGGAGAAATGACTAAACGCAGCTAATTTTTTGTTTTTAATTTAATCTCCGAGAGTTTCATGGTTGTTAACGGAACACCAAGGACTTTAGAGATCGTAGGATGATGCCTCGCCAAATATGGCTGGTCAGACCAAGGCTGCTCGCCTTTATTACGTACAGCTGCTAACTCACGTAACGCATTTAAGCATAGCGAATTGATTTCGATTCGCCTGGAATTTATTCTTATTGAATATTCACGGCCCACTTTCTTACGGTTGCAGTCGAGATACGCATAGAAAAAGCAACGATGATTCGCGATCGTGCAATTTATGAAAGGGAGAGCAAAGCAAACATCTTTTCTTACTCGTATCTTTTTCACGTTGCATATTCATAAAAACTGATTAATTCACCGATGGTTTGTTTGTTTTTTTTTGTTTTTTTTTTTTGGAAGTGTTATTTTTTATCAAAAACATAAAAACGACGACTGATGATTATTTTTAATTCAACTTTTTACTTCAACTCAACATTAATACCATTTAATAGATGTGGCAAGACGATAGATGTTCAATCGCGATTGCAAAATCTTTCGTTCAGGCGTTTTAAAATTTTCTAAATATTTTAAAATCGAAATTTAAAATTTCTTTTAGAATGTATTTAAAAAATATATTAGAGGAGATATAATCTAATGATTCAATAACACAATTCCAACAAAAGGATAAAACACAATTACTACATTTTCATTTAGATAAATCAAGATCATTGACGTATTTGGTTTAAGCTTCAAAATATTTGCAAAATATTTTTGGAAATCACACAATTCTAAAAACTTCATTGTCAAATTGTCTTGTCTTCAGTTCAGAGAAAGGAGGAGCCAAGTAAAAGTATATCCATTATCCTGCATCATCGATGCGATAAATTTGATCGACATAAACACGATGTTGGATCACTCCAAACTTAAAGAATCGCACGGATCGTTTGTTTTCGACGGATTGTCTTCACCGAACAATGATCGAATGCATTTGAAATCTGGATCCAGGCAACATCATCATCTTCAATCGGAAAGCCGTTTTCACTTTGTTACTCGAATGCCGGATACGTTCGAGACTGTCGAACAATCCGAAGATATCGACGGCTCAGATAAATTTGTTCAGACTGATCAAGACGGTCACAAACATTTTCATGGATCGAATCAAGAGCATCATTTTGCTCGGCAGGATCAATCAGGTCGATACAATAAACGATTTAACAAACACAATCACGTTAAATATCATCCCACGAGTGATGACCTGGCTGATCTTTCAACTCACGACGATCAGATAAATCAGTGGGCAGGAGAATTTAATAATTCTGATGAATCGGATATGTTGGGTGAATCGAGCGTGAATCATAAAAGGATGCCGAGAAGAGGAGACATTGGGATTCAAACTCTGGACGAAAGAGGTAATTCAAATGAATTTTAGAGTTGTGTCTATGAGCAATTGGTTTTTGTATCAATATCGAGAGCTGAACCCCTTAACGCTGATGCCCGTGCCTACACGTCCACGCAACTAATAGTCCAATAAGTGCAATTTTTAAAAGTTATTGTTTTTCACTTGTCACGTTGCGTTATTCTTTCTATTATGACAAAAACGTAAGTTACAGCATTATAAATAATAGAAAACGTATTTCTATACGCCTAGGAAGTAATTTAAAAAAAGAGAAAAACAAAATTGATCATTTTTGGTGCATCCAGTTGAGAAGAATGCCAGTGTTAAGGGGTTAAAGGACTCCAAAGTAACTTCTTAAGAAATTATCGTTTCTTTAAAGGATTCTTAAAAATTTTTATATCAAAGTTACTAAAAAGTTCTTTGATTTTGTGGAGAAAATTTAATATTATAGAATAATTAAGTTTTCTTTCTTTAATTTGTTATTCACAGAGATTTCAATATAAACTTTATTTCACGAAACGGAGAAGAAATTATTTGATTCGAAATTGCACTCTTAAACTGTGAAATTTTTCAAATTTAAATAATCCTGATATCTCTTTTCGATAAAATCATAATTTAACGTCGTGAAGTGATATCGTGTTTATCTATCTAAGTATGTTAATAAATGCTACAACACAGTTTTTGTTATACGTTTTATTATAGTCGATTAAGTAAGCAGGAAGTGCACGCCTAGAAATGACTTTATTAGCATGAAATCTTTACGCTTCTGTTAGCTGTGAAAATACCTATTTAAAAACTTGTTTCTTCATTGGCAACAGTCGTTAAACTACTATAAAGAAAAGATACTATATATACATGTAATTACATAGCCTTCGATGAACACTGGGTACAATAACAGGATAAAACAGAAGTATATTTCTAAACAATATTAAATTGCAGACAAATAACAATGTGTCTCTTTATTCGAGACTTTAATAAAACATATTAAACGGGTTATTTGTGTAGCAAATATTATAATAAATATATATATTATTAACATTTATGATAAATTCATCAGTGTGAAAAATGTGAATATATGAAGCTGGATAAAATGAAAATTTATTGTTTCGTTGGAATAAAAGTCTAATGGTCTTGAAATTAAAAAATCTGTTTCTTCATTGAAATAAAATTCTAATGACTCTGAAATTAAAAAAAGAAAAAAGAAACAAATGACTACTTTAAAGTCAAATCACTACTTTCTTAGATACTTTTTTCATATTTCCAATAAATGCTACAAATTCCAAACATTCTCGTTAGATAATCCGATTCCTATCACTTATCATCGAAATTTCAATTGTACAGCTTGCCTTACGGACAGTCATATAGTGAAGACACTGAACGAATTGATCGTAGCTATGAGGAAGGTCTGGAGAGAAATAGAATTAAACGTGAGTAGTAATATCGTAATTATTGAAAAATGTCTGATATCTAGAAAGAGCAATCGCTCTAAATAACACGTTCTTTTTTTTTCAGAGACAGGAAACCCAACACGTTCGACAATTAATAGAAACTTGCGCAGCCTGTCGTGTACTCCCCGGTGAGTGAAGTTCCGCTGTATTGAAAAAATTATTAATCGACACAGAAAAATATCTCGATTGTCCGTCGTTACAAGTCCTCTGCTTCTTTTTCCAATACTACTTCGATATTACATTTCTCAATCCCTCCACTATTTGCTCCACGACAATAATTTTGTTATTCCAGTAATGATTTTTACAAGTGTACAAATGTTTGATTAATTATAGGCGACGAAAGAACATAATATACATATATCGATTTATAACATGGTCTTACGTTGCAATAAATGTGTATTTTGCAAAATGGAATAATGTTGTGCCTCACACTTTCGTGGAACGTTTCGTGTAAAAGGTATCTTAAAAGTATGAAGGAATCTAGCGTAAAAACTTAAATGAAACATTTCGTTAAAACATTTCTTAGGAATTTAAATTCAAGTAAAAATAAAAAAAGAGAGAAAAAATTAATTGGAATATTGAACTTTGAAATATTAAAATCTTTTGTAAAATTGTATTAAACACGTTTTGTCGTTAAACGTGTCATTTTTCGAGTGCTATGGTAGAGGCAAGTGTACTGTTAATCGCCGGAAGTTATAGTGTTAAAGCAGATTCCGAGTTTGTCCGTCCTGTCCTCGCGAAGAAAAAATGGCGGCGCAGGCGGAAATACAATGTCGAGCTACAAAGTGGCCCAGCTTTCTTCTTGGAATAGTGTTATCCTGACAAGATCCTGATCCTGGTAATTCCACAGTTCCACCGACGACCACGACGGCAGCTCCTCCTAGTTGCGATTACAAGTCGCCTTGCTTCCCGGGCGTTGACTGCCGTAACACACCCCACGGGCCACAATGTGGAGGTTGCCCGCCGAATTATACCGGCGATGGATATCATTGCGTGAAAATTACTTGCGTGCACAACCCTTGCTTTCACGGTGTCCATTGCTTCGACCACAGCGGCGAATACAGGTATATTTTCATTATTTTTTACTTCGAATACTGGTCCCACACTCTATGTTCATTTTGGTTCAGAAAGCTCATCATTTCGGTTATTTTTTTTTAAGAAGAAAGTATTAGATATGTTAATGTAAACTTTTCGCTAATAGACTTGTTGGCGAATATAGGCACATCTTCGTTATTTTCATTTATATACATTTCTAGACATTTATGCTAAATATTATGCTAGATTTATATAAATTTCTTTCCTTTTTTTTAATTTCGTACATTTCAAATTAACTAATATATTTTTGGATTATTTCATATTTGTGTAAACTTTTCTTTTTTATTAACTCAAAGGCTTCCTTACTATCGTGTAAGTTTGTAATGCCATCAATTGTTAAAATTGCCGAACGGCAATAATTGTTACGAAAAATACTTATGCTAATCTTATAACAAGCAAAAATATTTGTCAGCTGTGGAAAATGTCCCGCTGGTTACGTAGGCGATGGCAAACACTGTGCACGTCGTAGGAATGGTTGCGAGTTGCATCCTTGCTACCCGGAAGTGCAGTGTGATCCAATTCATTATCCACCATATTTCAGGTATAACTATGTAGATCACATGGAAACCATTTTTCTAATTTTAACATATTTTTCAATAATTTTTAAGTAGCTGTGGACAGTATAATTAACGAAACTTAATCTCTCTGTTTCTTTTTCAATTGCAAAATATAATTTTAAATTTCATCTCATTATTCAGTACAAAATTAGCGTCTCAGAAATTCGATAACCACCTTTAAACACTTTCTCACATTTTTGTCAATTTTTCTTCTATAAACATTGAAAATATACGCATGTTTCTTATTAACATTAACATTACTCATAGGGTGTTCTAATTAATTTCAAATAAATATTTTTAATAATTTCCGATTTTTAATATTGCATTATTCTTTATTCTAAAAACATTTGCTAGTATAAGCATGCAATGTCGAATATAAGTAGATGTATACACTAAATCATTCAATTTTCACAATTATTAAAATTCAAAAAATTGAGACAAGAAAATCCAATCCCTTTACTCTCCTAATTTAAATCTATAATCCTAAATATCCTAAGATCCTACAATCCCCAATAATCTAAACCTTTTATTTCAATTATATTAATTTATAGATGTGGTACTTGCCCCAATGGATTCACCGGAAATGGTTCAACGTGCGTTGACATAAACGAATGCGATTTGGTACAACCTTGTCATCCTGGAGTACGATGTATCAATGAGCGTCCAGGATTTAGATGTGACCCTTGTCCATCAGGATACACTGGATCAGTGATAGAAGGAATCGGTTTAGAGACTGCCAAGAGCCTTAAACAAGTTTGTGTAGACATAAATGAATGTCAGAATAATAATGGAGGTTGCGATCCATTCATGGAATGCATTAATATGGAGGTAATTAATTGAAGAAAATTAAAAAAGAACAAAATACTCTGATTTATGTGATTTGTTTCTGTCATTTCAGGGTTCCTTCAGATGTGGTGCTTGCAGAGCAGGCTTCATAGGGAATCGATCAATCGGCTGTCATCCTGCACACAGTGTTTGTCCAGACTTAAGAACAGTTTGTGACGTAAACGCCGAGTGCATCTGTATCGATACTAACGTATACTCGTGTAAAGTAAGACAATCAAGAAAAAATTTTTATATATCCCTCACACTGCTTAAAATGACCTTGAACTCTGAAATTTTTCTGAAACTTCCTTTCTTTCATTTCATTCTTTGAAACCATTTAAATTACGTGTAAAAATTTTCTCATACCACCATAGCTAGAGTCCCATAGCTTGGCCCACTCTGTATAGTGTAGATGCAGCTTAACACATAAGACGTTCGATTCAAAGCGCAATTAATGCGTTAAAAATCAAGTTTTCATTGAAGTGCCATAATCCCCACTTTAATCAAACGTCTGAACATTGCACGTATTATATATACCGGGTGTTGCAACGAAAAAGAAAAGAATCGAATTTCCAGTGTCGAGTTGGATGGGCAGGAGACGGGTTGGTCTGTGATTTGGACAGAGACAACGATGGAATTCCCGACAGAAATCTCCGTTGTCACGAACGACGTTGTCGCATGGACAACTGTCCACGGACGCCGAACAGTGGCCAAGAGGATGCGGATAATGATGGCATAGGCGACGCCTGCGACTCGGACGCTGATAACGATGGGGTCTTGAATTCTTCGGACAACTGTCCTTTAATTTCAAACCCTGGCCAGGAGGACACTGATCGTGATGGTCCTGATTCCATCGGTGACGTCTGTGACAATTGTCCTTTAGTGAGAAATCCGAAACAGGAGGACACCGATGACGATGGAATCGGTGACGCCTGCGACAATGACATGGATAACGACGGTAATATTCGAATATTTCGAAATATGTTTGAATTAAATATTCAAGATACTTGTTATAAATGTAGAGGACATTTTTAAAGGGTATCGTTTGACATAAGGACAGAAATTTCTGTAAAGAATGTACCAATTTTTGCCAATAGATTTGATCACTTTTAGTGGAAGATTTGCAAGAAAGTATAAAATTAATATCAACGAAGGTGTAAGCCTGACACGTAAAAATTCTTCGTAGTTTTCGTGAGAATGTAATTTCTATTGATGTGAAACGCAACATTCGTAATTATTTGTAATCTATGGGTTTGTCTTTATTACCAATACTACGATTATTTATGAAAAATTAGATATAACAAAACGGTGATGTGTAAAAGAAGTAAGTATCAGTTTATTAAGAAAATTCTACACAATTGGCTGTCAGTTTTTTTTTTTTAATCGAGAAGTTTATCGCTCATATGTATAAAAAAAATTATAGATATATTAAAAGTTGTAATTTTTCAAAGTTAGTGTTATTTCACAGGTATTCTGAATAATCAGGATAACTGTCCGAAACTAAAGAACCAGGATCAAGTTGACTCAGATATGGATGGGATTGGCAATGCCTGTGACAACTGTCCCTTCGTTCACAATCCAGATCAATTGGATAGAGATGGTGATGGAGTAGGTGACGTTTGCGACAATGACAATGATAGAGATAGAGATGGCGTACAAGACGATAGAGACAACTGTCCGGACGTGGCGAATCCAGGACAAAATGACGAGGATCGTGACGGTATTGGAAACGAGTGTGACAACGATATAGATAATGATAGAGTCCTAAATCACGAAGACAACTGTCCTTACGTCTATAACCCGGACCAACGACGCACTCATCGTAAGTAGACGAGCATTATTTTAATTTCAAGTATCATCGTTAGAGTCGAAATATTGTGATCGAAATGATAAATCCTACTTCGTTGAAGTTTTCCAAATTTCAACAGTGAACGCTTGGAAAATTGTTGGAGAGCTGAAATTTTCCAAATCTTTAAATTGGAAAAACGTCTCGATAATTCTTGTCTTTAAATAATTTATTACAACTTTTGCCTCCTAAGTTAGAAATTTATGCTGTTGCGAAATCTTCTCCTATTACTCTCTTTTCTTTTCACGCTCTAACTATTTTTAATAATTTCGAGCAAACATTTTCATTTTATACCACAATTTGCCTTATTCCTAGCTCTTATTAGCATATTACGGGTTAAAGAGGATTATAAAAAAGTTCCATTTCATAAGAAATCAACCATTTTCAGATGAATATTTTGGCGACGCTTGCTGGAACGACAACGACAACGACACCGTGATAAATAGCCACGACAACTGTCCCAATAACAGTTTAATTTGGACAACAGATTTCAGAAAATACACTACGATCGCTTTGGACCCAATTGGCACCGCTCAAGAGGATCCCGTTTGGAAGATACACAACGAAGGAGCTGAAATTCAACAACTTGTAAATAGTGATCCTGGGATTGCTATTGGTAACGTATTAATTCTTTAAATCCTGAACGCTCTTTCTTCAGGAAGAATGTTAGTTAGAAATTATAGAGACTAATTTCTAGAAATAAGAATAGTATTATTCTGAACGCTCTTTATAAACAGCTGTGCTTACGCTCTACCTATGCAAATTAGAATCCTGCCATTTTTCAGAATCACTTATAACCCTTTAAGCGTAGAAACTTATTCGAATTTACGAAACGATTTTTTCGGTACCATCGTAATAACCAGGCTGGGCTATTCATTTCCTCCATATTTCATCTCGATTGTTTGCAACAGGTCCAGACATTTTCAGTGGCGTAGACTTCGAAGGCACTTTCTTCGTCGATGACAACGGAGATGACGATACCGTTGGTTTCGTTTTCTCCTATCAGGACAATCGTAGATTCTACATAGTGTCCTGGAAGAAGGGTCAACAACCTTATTGGGTACCAACACCGTTCAGGGCAGTTGGTGATCCTGGAATTTTCTTGAAGCTTGTCGACTCTAACACTGGTCCTGGACCTCTTCTCAGAAACAGCCTTTGGCACAATGAGGACACTCCCAACGAAGTGAAGATTCTTTGGCACGATCCGAAGAAAATTGGTTGGAAAGAGAAAACTCCGTATAGGTGGAACTTATTGCACAGACCTAAGATCGGTTTGATCAGGTTCCAGCTCTACCAAGGCAAACAGATTATGGCTGATTCAGGAAACGTGTACGACTCGACACTTAAAGGTGGAAAATTAGGTGTCTACTGCTTCTCTCAGGAAGGCATCACTTGGTCGAATTTGTTGTACATGTGCAAAGGTAAATTATGAATCCTACAGATATAATTCTATACTCTATACAATCGAATCGTTGCAAAAGTTTATCGATGTTTATCTCGAGAAATGTTTGTCTAAGGTATTTCTCTTCTTCTGTGAGCAGAATACACGTTGATGTAAGAAGAGAAATTTAACATTAATTTTCACTGTTATAAAGAATTTTGCAGCAAGTGTTTGTTAAGTATGTCCACCGATGCAGGAGTGTACAATTCACCACAATTATTCTTTTTACATCCTGTACGTTACTGGAGTTTTCTAGTTATAGGTAACATAAGTACAACGTGGGCTATATTTTGAAAACGTGTTCTTTTAATATTCAAGAACTTTTATAGTCGTGAAAAATATTTGAAACAAAAGTACTTTTTTTTTTATTGGAACAGAATTTCAACGTTTGTACATATTACGTATCTTACAATACATCCCACATAATCAAATTTTATTTAACACGGTACGAATTTTCATTCCTAAGAATTAATGTGTAATGTTAATTTCATTTCGTTTTTTCACTTCTGCGAATTAATTTGACAGGGGCGTATGAAGAAAAATCTTTGACCAAGTAGATCAGAATGAAAGAAATTCAAAGACAACGAGTAAAATATATACATCCTTTAATTATTTACAATTCAACATAAAATTGTTACTTAAACTATCTTTAGATATAAGACGCTTGAAACAAAATCTCACTATTGCCATAGTTAACGGTTCAGTGATACAGTAGTTGAAACTATAGCCAAATATAAATAAAAAATAAACAAATTATCTGTTACATCTTTCAATAATATATTTTTTATACGATCGATTATTATCCTTCTCTCAACTTCAAAATTTCTCTTCGTTACAATCTAAAGAAATACTATTTTCAAATGATTCTTCAAAATTACGTTAGAACAACTTTATCACTGAACAATTAACCACGAACGAAAACATGAATTATATCGGGAAAAAAAAAAAAGAAGAAAGTTTCTATCCTCATGAGATATATTAATTTTAATGGAATTTTTCAGAAACTGTCCCGCAATCGGTATGGAACGAGTTACCGGCGAATTTGAAGAAGGAAGTAGCTGTAGACATGAATAACGAAGTCAGGCCTCATTACACTTAACAATCTAACTATTACGACTCGCATTAAAGTTTCGAAATTCGTTCCGTAACGTCGCACAAATTTCGCCTAAATCGTTTAATCCATAGACTTGGTTCGTTTTCCGTGGTCAAAACCGAAAATATTTCTTACGTGTATATGTAAATATTAGTTACGATTTTATTCGATATGGCGAAACTTTGTCATTAACTAAGTTGAAACTTTTCGCAATCTCTGTCTCTGCGAAATTCTGACGTTTAGTTATTATATTTCACTGTTACGTAATTAAAGGACACAGCATGACAAATACCATCTTAATGAATGTTCTGCTTAAGGAAGAGACGAGTCTATACGAGGGAAACCTTAAAAATATATCGACTATACTTTGCGGAATGTATGCAACAAACGCTTAATTCTAGTTAACAAGGGATCGTTAGAAACTGAATGTGCGCTTTTCGAAAGACTTTAAGATCGAGAAATTGAAGAAATGTATATGAAAATATTATACAATGGAAAATGATTTAAGTACAAATTAACTGAAAGAATTATATTCCATGGTCCTGAGAAAATTAAATTCTAATTAAAATATATGATTAAGGTTTCCATGTTTTCCGTAGTAATTTTTGGAAATGAGAAAATGAAGTTGAAATTAAAATATACGATTAAGTTTTTCATGTTTTCAATGGTAATTTTTGAAAATGCATCAATGTTATGTTACAATATAATTATACCATGAAGAGCTGATTTAAAAAAAAAAAAAGAATCTGCTTTTAAACAGTTTGTGAACTTAGAACTCTGAATAAATATCTCTTTTCTCTTTTCAATAACCATCGTAAATGAGCAAAGTTTAAAATTCCTTTTTAACACCTTATTGTATAAATTTTTCTATACGTACAATTCAATAAATTTTGTATATTTAATTCCTTGTAGGAAAACACATTTGTTGTTGAATAAAATTTACCATAATTTTTTCAAGCAAATCGAATTAGATTCCACTGTTTGCATCGTTGCAATAACAGTCACTTTTATAGTTAAAATGTTCTTCTCATTTTATGACGAATTTATATTTGTCGCATTCTTCAAAAAGCGCACATCAAGAGTGTCGCTTTCCCGTTTTATGAGATTGACAATGTCAAATCGAAGTAATTTTCGTCACTTAAATAATACACATTTAAACATTCCCATGTTCGTACTTCTTTTGCTAAATAATGGCTACTTACAATGTTACAGAACATCTTGTCGACATTAAAAAAGCTTAATGTGTACATATGTGTATATACAGGATGGGACACGTGAAACAGATCATCTAATTATCCTCTCTGTCTATGACGGTACCAGAAAATTATTATACGTAATTCAAATGGTTTCAAAGGGTGAACAAGATGGAAGAAAAATTTGTTTAATGGAAAAAATGGCAAAACGTTAAAAGAAGTTTCACATTTGATTTAAAATTTTATAGTCCAAGATCATTTCAAAGTCAGATTACTATGTAAAAAAACGTAGGTGACCTAGAAAAAAAAAAAAAAAGAATGGCATTTATAAAAATTTTCTCCTACCACCGTAGCTAGAAAAGATAATTAGGTGGCCTGTTTCACGTGGCCCACCCTGTATGTATACATATACGTATATATATATATATATATATACATATATGTCTGTGTGTTCGTATAAGAAAATGTCTACTGTACAGGATGGACTAATGTAAGTTAATTCCCTTAAAATAGCATTACCATATTGAACGTTATGAAAAAAGTAATTCTTACGAAATTTATTATAGCGTTAGGAAGAACCATTATATGAGAGATGAAATATTCGAAATATTTCTACGTGTTATTTAAACAAAGATTAAGTGCGTAGATTAACTACTGGTGTATATATATATATATACACACCATGAGGTACTAAAAATATCATAAATATCGAAATAAATATCGTATAAATACACGCGATACTTTTAGGCCCTTCACGAAAAAAAAAAAAAAAAAAAAAGAAGGAAAAACGTAAATTTAGGACTTTTTAGTATTACCAATCAAATTTCTCTGGTTTACCATGTATATTATTTCACCGAAACAAAATAAATGGTTTCAAAAGGAAATTACTATTTTACTTGTGGATTTTTCAATATTCTAATATTATTAATACTCTTCAATGAAAACGCAACCTTTTGTTATTACCACGTATAAAATAACCAGAGTTGAAATATGCTAACTAAAAAGTGAAGTTCAATTTTACACTGATATTTACACTAAGGAACATGTAGATATGGCTGTTTGAAAAATTACAGCAATTCCTTTTCGAGAAAATTCGCGGAACAGAGGAAACCGTGAAAACAGGCCGAATAAACATTTACAACTATCGTAACACAACGTTTACAATGTACTCAAGGTATTTACAAATAAATAGTTATTGTTTAAATCGAACACTATGTATATACAGAGATCTCGAATAAAATAAATATCGCAGTAAAAATAAGTGTTCCCTATTGGTCGCGGAAAGCTTTCATCGTTTTTCATTCCAACTTTTAAGAAGAAAAATAAATTATACTAACTTGAAGTATATCTGGTCGATATTTTAAAGCGTATAAAATTTCCGAGTAAAGAAGAAGAAGAAGAAGAAGAGGAAAGTGCGTATTTAGTTTACCATAGGCGAGAAGACAGTCAATCGACGCAGGTAATAATATAAATTTCTCCGAGTCTTAAAGTTCATGTTGCACAATTTGCGCATACAGGATATTTTAAAAATAGCTAGCCAAACTTTTCGAGAGTCTTGTATTTGTACGAAGAAAGGTAATAAATTCCGAAATGTTTTCTTTCTAAACTGTACAAAAATGATATCTTTCTAAACGGATCTTGCATTGAAAAAATAGAAGTGCAGATCGAAAGTTTTTCATAATTTTGAATATTTATTTGTGG